TCTTCTGACATCAAAGACTGGAAAAGATGAAGAGCACAAGCAAAAATCACTGACTAAACCTGATAAAGTTCAAGCTATCTTAAAGGGCATCAAACAGGTATTGATATTGCACTCTGGTTGCATCGTTATAAAGCTTTGTAATGGATTCTAAAGTTTTATGGGATTTGGTTTTTGATGCATCTGGGCATCAAACACTTTGTTCTATCATGTGGTATGTTCCTTTGCTGCCCAATAATCAAATTTTATTTTTGGGTAAACATTTATGCATGACTACCAATTTCACCTTAGAATTGATGACCAATGAAGAGGGAGGAGGGGGGGAGGTGGTGAAAACAAATTCTTAGAAAGGAAAAATATCATACCTGTTTCTGATTATGTGTGTAATGTATTTAGAAATGATTGGATGGCTGACTGAACAAGTTCCTCTGAAAACAAATATTATTCCTTTTTTCTGATTATGTGGGTGTGTGTGATGTATTTAAGAAAGGACAACAGTGAAAACAGTAATCTTGCGACCTTCTCTATGCCACAGGGAGGCATGCCTTTTGTTAAAAATATGTCTATTCCTTTTTTTTCATTCAGTTTGGATGTTAATGGTCCTACCATTGGAGTTGTTTCTTGGATAGTTCGTGTTCTTGCAGTTTAGACATTAACGTAAAGGATCCCTGGTCACCTAAATGGCTGTTCTAAAAGTTGTATAGTTGATATTATTTTCAAGTTTCCCCCTTATACGTAAATACTTTTAGTGATTTTAGCTCACTCACTTTCACTCACAGAGTCCTAAGAAGGTTAACTTGGTTGCTGCACTGGTACGTGGTATGCGTGTTGAAGATGCATTGTTGCAGTTGCAAGTGACAGTAAAGCGAGCTTCCAAAACTGTGTACCAGGTGATACAGCCATCGTGCATCTTTTTGAGAGGACAGGAATGAATGGATTGAACATTTAAGTGATTTATTTTTTGAATTATTTTGACTTCTGAGAAGACAGGAATGTGAGAGATGCATCTTCTTGTGGTATCATTGAGAATTTTTATTTTTAATTTTACTTTAAAGAATAGTTCTAATCGGTATAGAGGTTGGGTATTTCACATGCGATGGCTTCATTATGCTCATGTCTTACTAACACGAAATAGAACTTACAACAAAATTTCAACATTATGTGAGAAACTACCATTTGCAGGTCATTCACTCAGCCCGAGCAAATGCTACTCATAATCATGGGTTGGATCCAGACCGTCTCCTTGTTGGTAAATAATGAAAGTGAAGTTAAATTCCTCGTTCTCTTTGTTTCCAATTTCAAACCTCATTCTGCATTCTCTCCTTATTTGTAGCTGAGGCATTTGTTGGAAAGGGATACTTCAAAAAGAGACTGTCCTACCATGCTAAAGGCAAATGTGGAGTTAAAGTGAGACCAGAATGCCGACTGACAGTGGTAGTAAGGGAGATCACCCCTGACGAGGAGGCAGAGATAGCCAAACTGAAAGTTAAGAATTTCGTGAAGCTCACAAAGCGCGAAAGAAGGCTTGTTCCTCACCAGCTTATTGAGACAACTCCAATTTGGAACCGCAAAGGCAAAGCCCGTGAGCGTGAACGAAATGGTGCAGCTGCATGAGCAAGCTTCCTTCCCATGCTTTCATATTCTAAAAGAAAGTTTTGAGACTCCTCCTGTGTCCTTGAATTTTGATAATGTTCCAAGTGTGAATGATGAAGTGCCAGAGTAGGAAGAGCAACCTTGTCACAGTTTCTGGTAGTGGCTGCATGCAGTTTTAAATGTGTTTTTTTAGCCATTATAGTTTTGAACGCTTGATATGTTGAGTATCGTCATAGTCCCTTCTTAGTTGGCTTCATTTGAGATAATAAATTATTACCCTTTCCCCTTCTTCCTTGGCCTCTTATTGAAGCAGAGAATGAGCTCTTGCTCATGTTTACGCCTAAGTGCAGTTCACAAGTAAACAAATGAAAAACCAAATTATCCGTTAGATAGTGCAGTAAAAGAAATATGGAGTTTGTGTTTGCACTGCTGTTGGTTCCAGAATTCTCACAAACAGAACGACTGAAAATGGCCGCCCCTAAACTCTTTTGGATATTGGTATTTCCTTTTTAAGTTTAAACCGTACAGACTACTGTGGGGCTTTAACATTTCTCGGCAGGCTGTATATTCCAAGTGTCCATTTTAGTATATTAGCTGTATATTTGTATAAGAATCTTCAAATGTTTTGGAAAGGTTAGAGACACTAGTGGGAGCAACGATTATACAACTCAAATTTTGACTCCAGACGATAAGCATAGAGAGCATACTGATTCTAACTGCAAAAGCTATTGGGAAGAACTTCTCCGACTCTAAGCATATATATGATCATATGATGGGGGGAAAACAAAAGGAAATGAATTAAATCTTGGTATCATCTTTGATCAAAGAAGCTGCCCACAATGGTTGCTCGTTTTAATGAAACCAACAAGACTCACACAACACAACTGAAGACAGATGCAATCTTGGAAAACTCTAGGGAGAGAGAGAGAGAGAGAGAGAGAGAGAGTGCTCTCGGCATAGCAATACATAATAGAATGTACTTTGTCATCTTCCAAAGATAGCCTACATAGTAGCTATTGTTGACAAGATCCAATCATTTCTTCCACCACATTTGCAACTCATTACAACTACTAACAAATCATGCTGACCGATTTAAACTATTTTCACCCATGAGTCGAGACCAGCTGACTTTGCATCTGACTTAATTCTTATTTGCTGCATAAGTTCGGGTTTTGACCCGTTGCTGCAATCTTGACAAAGAAATTCAATAAAATGAAGTTCAGAGGTGTACCAAGTACTAAAAAGAATGTAACCAAGATGAAATCCCAAGTAAAAATACAGGATAAGCACAAGAAAGAACTACATAAACAATAACTGTGGCTGGTTCAAAATATGGAACAAGGATCCCCACAAACAAGTTCAAAAGAGAAGAAAACAAAATAACACCCAAGTCAAACCTGTGTCAGGCTGTCACAGGGGGCATAGATTTGCCTCTTTTTGAGTAACTCATAAAATCTTAGTTTGGCGCATCAACACTTCTGTATCTAAATATCTCGACACCCAAGTAGTCAAGAGGACCATGAACAGCAACATGCGGCTTCCCAACTTTGACAGAGACAGCAGATATCTGGGGATAATTTTTCAGAGTGGTAGATGCGATGAGTTGAGCCACAGACTCCAGAAGATTATGAGGTGGCCCTTCTACAACTTCCTTTACAATGCTGTGGTTTACAAACGCAAAACATCAAAAGTGACCTAGTATCAGTCTGAGAAAACCTTAGATATAAAACGATAAGCATATTGTGTTTAATCTTTTCTTCTGGACATACAAATTCCTAGCTTTTTGCATCTCCATTTTCTATAAGACCACAACCACTGAATCAAAACACCGAACTAAAAAAGGACCCATATAGAATATAATTTTTCAATGCCATTGCAAATTGAGGTAAATATTTGACAACAATATGCAAATGATGGGACTGCAGCACTAGACTAGACTAAAACATGATACATGCCAAGTTTCGAGGTAACGGAAAATGAAGGTGTTTTCATATTGTTACGAACCGATAAATTTCGGTGTAACTAATGGTATCTGACAAACGATCAGATTTACCAGCCTCCCGGAGATCCATCCAAGCATCAACATCTATCACAAATTTCTGACCCAGCGTCCTTTCTTCTGGCTTCACTCCATGAAATCCATGGAACTTCAAGCCCCTTAATACGAGCTTATCTCCCCCTCTTATTGCAGCATCTTCCTGTATTGTTCCTGATGAAAGTCAATTATCACAATAACACCAACCATCAAAAGAAAGACACAAGGGACAAAGTTCATGTTCACACAGACAAAACCAGTTATTAAAAACTACTTCTTTGCTTGTAAACTATCCCCAACTCCTAATAGCCCACATGGATTTCTAAGCTAGACAAGAATTATTTATGTGGGAATGGGAATTTTGTTTTTAACGGAATTGGGATACCCAAAATTCCAAGGACCCACCACAAAGAGACATCTTTCCCTGTTTTCTCTCCATCTTCCTCTTCAATATCAGTAAATCCAGGAGGAACCCAGTGATGCCCATATGCTCCTAAGCACAAAGGCTTCAGAACCCATTACCTACATCTCAAATATACACCTTTTCGATATGAAAAATACAAGAAAAGTAAGCAGTATGAGTAGAATTCCAGTTTACCAGAAGTGTGCGCAGCCATTAGTTCTATATGTATATTCGGCGCAGAACAGCCACGAGAGCGCCTGTGTAGTGAGAATTGAACCCACAAAGAATATTTCGCTCTCTCCTTCACAAAGAATCGAACACTATTCAACAGATGCTTACTAGATAGCGCGCGCTACACCTGCATTGTCATTGGCTAGACCGTTATTACGTAAGCAACAAATGGCAAATCAAGTTTGTTTTTATTTAATTTTTATATATCAAATCAATTGATAAGTTAGTTTTCTTTTTCTTTTCTTTTGTCCAACAAAACCAAAAGAAGACAACACTCATCAAAATATTAAAATATTTAACAATAATATTAAAAAACAAAGATTCAGAGAGAAATCTGAAGCTTTTTTTAGTACGGAGAGAGAGAGAGAGAGATCTACCTGAAGCTTGTTCGAGCCAAATAAAAATATATATTGCGAGAGAGAGGGAGAGAGAGAGGAGACAGATAGAGAATAGAAAAGAGGAGAGAGGAGACAGATCTGAAGCTTGTACCCATATAAAGGCCCTGACCAATCCATAACCAATGTTTTTTCCCTTTTCTGCTTTAAAAAATAAACCATTTTCTTTGAAACATGATCAACTTACAAACTGTTGCAAAGACATTTTAGCGAGAGAGGGAGATAGAGCTAGCCTCTATATTGGCTGTTGAGAAACTGAAATCGGGAAAAGAAAAACAATGAAAAGGTATCACATTATAATCTCATAACACATTTTCGGTGGGTTAAGGAATTTCGAGAACTTACCAATCCCCAGACTCATTTTTGGTCAAGATTCCAAATCACTATACCCACTCATTTTGAATCCAAAATTTGACGAAGGAAACAGTAGTTGTTTCAAGCGAAAATCGCATTACCACCAAACTCGGGGTGTTGGGGAGGAGAGAGGTTGAGAAAGAGAGATACAGAGAACATAGAATAGAGATAGAAGGAGGTGGTGTAGGTGGAGGAGAGAAAGATCGGGGTGGGGGAGCTCCGTCGGGGAGAGGGCCTGGGATAAGTTGGTGCGGCTGAGAAGGTTATTTGTTTATTTATTATTTTACTTTTTTTTCATTTTAAATTATTTTAAAGGAAAAGAGTTGTTTTATTAATATTTTGGTATAAGTCCTTATAAGTCATTTTACAAATGGGTAAGCAGCACTCTATATTTTAAGCACACCAAACAATGGTTAGGATTTATGTCAATTTTAATTGGATCATTTAGTTTTAACTTTTAATTCCTGTGCAATGGTTAGGATTTATGTCAATTTTAATTGGATCTGTCCAATCCAATTCGACCCATCAAATAGGGCCTTATCATTTAGTTTTAACTTTAAATTTCTGTGCAAAGAATCCAGAAGTATAGTGGTTTGGAGTAAATACTCTCTCCAACAAAGATCCTAGGTTCGAATCCTAGCATCCGTGTAGTGTGTGTGAGTTTAGTATTCTATCGCCCCTCTCAATAGAAAAGATTCTATAAAATAATAATAATAATATGAATGCCTCTCACGTTCTTCAATTTTAGCACCATATAAAAATTAGACAGGTCTAATGGCATTTCTCTTTTAACGTTGGGAGAAGTGGAAAGTTCGAATCTCTCCTCCGTAAAAGAGAAACATAGATAAAACAAATACTGAAGAAAGAGGGAAAGATAACCCTGTTGAACAAGGGATGGGATTTGAATAATTTTTCTGGGTCGAAGTATATATATACAATGTAAACAAATACCAAAAAAGGTAATACTTCTATTGTGCCTCTTTCACTGACGCCATTAAAAGCTGTACATCATGAATCCTGTGCTCCTTTTCTCTACAAAATATCCTCTCTCTCCAACATCTAAACCGGGTGCATCCTGCCGCCGGCAACCTGCTTCCCAACTGTTACTTAACTATACAACTGTCTGTCTATGTGTTTATATATCCGGTACTCTTCGGTAGAAAAGAACGTATGCAGCTGATGTCCTGATCCTCTCTTGACCAACAGGAAGAACCTTTTCATCATCAAACTCATACCACGAACCATTACCAAGCTGCACAGGGGACAAAAATTGTTTACCAATTCAATTGAGAAAGCCCTAAAGTGAATAAAACTTGGGGATAAAATACATGTAATAAAAAAAGAAAAGAAAGGAGCATCTAAGTGCAGTCTGGATTTCACTGAGTATAAAGGATTCAATTGAGAAACTTGGACAAAAACCTAAGAAATTTTCTAACAATAAGAGAAACAGAACTTACATGAACAAATGCTGTATAGTGACCACCACCCATGCCGCCATAGTGATTACTAATTGCGTACAACATATATTGGCTGGATAACTGGCTATTTCGGTGACTAATGTAGGGTGAGAAATCTAAACCATAAATTGGAAAATCAACAAATGTTTCGAGCTTGTTCTTAAATAAATTGCTGTACGAGAATCTTTTCAGATGAATAACCAGAATCTCAGGCAATCTCCAAAGGTCTAACTTTTTGCTAGCTTGCTGAGGCTTCTTGCAGATAGGGCAGTACCTGTAAACAACATATCATTGCAAAAGCTAGCATTAAGATAGGCAGCAGGTATACGACTACAATCTATTATTTAAAAAATTCTGAAAACCAAAAAATACAAACTGCACAGATGACATAATTAATGAACAAAATAAACTGCATGCTCTATCTCTAGCTAGATTAAGCCAAGAAACAACAGTCAAGAGGATGCATAACAGTTTTGTTCTTGTAATTCAAATGAAGTTAGATGCTAACCACATATCCTCTGGTCCTAGAGGTTCTTCCTTCATAAAGGCTTTAAGGCATTTGTACAGAGAGACAGATTCTTCAGGCTTCCTCACAAAAAATTGGGGCTTGAAAACCTCTGGCAAAGTGTTTAAAAGGCATGTATCATACTTTTTAGTCATATTATCGGACCATAAAACAAGCACCTTCAACCTCTTAGGCAACCCTGAGACCACGATTGGCTCATTCATCTCTATCAAGGTATCTTCTATAGCTTCTTTTGCATCTGGTAAGTAAAACTGGAAGTCAGTATCTGAATTTGCTTCATCCCTTGATTCCCTGTCTGAGTCGGCATCATTATCCATAATTGTAGTAGTAGTAGTAGTAGCATTAGAATCTTCATTAGCAAAATCATCATCAAAAATATTCAATACATCTCCAGGGCTCATCAAGTATGGATTTAGTACTTTCAGGAACGCGTTACGAATATCAGATCCATTGCAAACATCAGGCAATGTTGCTACAAGGGGAATGCCAAACGCCTGTGGGACTAATCTCATCTCCCCATTATTGTGACACCTGATCCCAGACAAAAATATGTATTTAGGCTTTTTTACAGGAAAAAGCAAAGACAGTAATAATAATATTAATATCTTCAATAGTGAAAACATAGAAATGCAAGCTGTATCCTTTTAAGAGATCATATAACAGAGGGAAAAGATAAAAACATTATCATCACAACACATAACGGTCACAACATAACAAATTAACATCATTATCTACGTTTATGAGGTCCATTGCATTTTTCCACAGAGAAATCATTCACATGTACTTGTAATAAAATAGTTATTGAAACCTGGTGGCCATATGGCCTCCAAAGAACAGGAAGCCAGTGGTATTTATTTACAACCTAAAAACGTAATAAGGGAAGACTTTTAAATCGGTCAAGAAACTTACAGAGAAGGCCCAATTTACTGCAGGAGATAGTTACAAGGTTGGGTAATAAAAACATTTAAAAATTATTAATTCAGTACACATTTGCAAACATCTGCTAAATACATATAGGATTATCCAAAATTCAGAAAGTTTGCATAGAGATAGAACCCTGAATTCAATCAAAACTTCAAACTCCACAGGAGTGTCATGCATTGAACCACCCTTTGTCTTGCATATACAAAGGCTGTGATTTATATTAAACAGACCCAACTATATCAAACAAAAACATATTACGCACCACCAGTATCACTCATAGATGGTCATCAGCTGCTCAAGACCTTTCAACTTCATTTTTTTAAAATTTGTTTTCTATTTCTGCGATAAAATAATTTCAGCCATGACATATAAGGTGTGAACGAAAATGACTCAACATGTCAGAATGAGATGGAATGAACAAGCCAACAAAATTGGACTGTTTCTATATGCAATCATTCCCTAACATAAATAAAATCTTCAACAAACAGTTCGCAATACCAGATACCAAAATAATAATAAATAAAAACAATATGTAAGCTGTAACTCATGTTGTATTTGACAAGGCAATGCTTCATACAGACTTTTAAACAAGATACACCCGAAGATGATAGTTGGAAGAGTAACAAAATCTGGGTTCAAACCTAAACACAATTCACGCATGAAATGCTTGATAAAAAGTGACAACTTACCATCTGGACCTGAGACTAACTGTTATGTTGGTCGTAAAGTTTTATGAGGAAGATCTTATATTTCAAAAAATCATAGACTTCTCAAGTACATAAATGAAGGAAATTGGTTCAGGAGCAAATTGACTTCTTTCTTGGTTACAGAGATTTCAAAGTGTCCAAAGATTCAAGCCTGGAATCAGGTTGCTTGTTTAATTCTATCATTACCATATCAAAGTCTGGTAGAATTGAGTTTATTGGCATACAAAAAATATCATTAGTTACTAAAAGAAACAAAAAAAATGTATATATCAAAAATACCATCCCATAAGACAAATTCTATGCCATAAACTTTCAAATGAATCAAAATGTTACAATATACTCTGGGAGTCTGACCAGATTTTCCATCATTTTGACAACATAAATAAGAAAAGGGATACTTCTCACCACACCAACTACTTGCATTATTCAACAGCAGCTTCTATTACACGAGCAATAACACATACTAGCAAGTACCGTTTTAGGGGTAACATATCACAAAGTGTACATTTTGTACACAGTTTCTATTGAATTGTGCGAACCAGGCACCATCATTGCTATTAGCATCATGTGTCCTTTCATGTCTAAACTTATAGTAGGCATACAACATACCTTGATTTTACCAGGTAACTGAAATTATCATGTTGAACATTTCCCAAAAGGTCCCTCAGCTATTTTGGCAATCACATAAAAATTCTTTAGGTTGCTCACTGAGTTCACTAACCTAGTTAGTTTAAAATGCAAGGGGAAAAAGGTCATTGAACTAGTTATAGCAAAAATTAGAAGCATTATCACTTTTAATTTTTTAATAAAGTAATTTGAGTTAGGCAACTGATAAAGCAGTGATGATTTACTCAAGAAACCAAACTTACATGTCCATCTGCTGATGAATAAACGTAACCAAAAGGGACGTCTCACAACCCTTTGGTAACCGATAAGCGACCAATCGGTCACCATCTCTGATCAAGTCTAATGAATCAAATGGATCTTCCAGTAGACGAAAAATGCGACACTTGTATACCTACAAACAAAGGGTCAATGCCTTAGCATTCTTAACCTCTCAGTGAAGGATCTTTAAAAGATTACAAATAGTTACAAAATCAATCATGGACATGACTTTACTATGATGGCATGCAAAAAGCAAATACAGGCCACGTAATTGTCAAAATGCCAACAAATGGTGCTAGAGAACCAGAGTCCACGCACAACACTGCATGACTGCTCCATGACCGTAGCTACTATGCATGCATGTCATCCATATGACAACTCCCATTCCCACCCCACCCCCTCGCTCCAATGACATACAGCAATGTTTCAATAACTCTAAAAACAGAGCCCCAGAAATATACCTCAGCAAGCATTAGGGTTTCATCATCTCTTAAAGAACATGCAGTGCTTAAGGCATTAGTCAGATCCAACGACCTTCCACTCTTGGGCACTGTCACAGTAAATGTACATGGCAATGCAGTCCCATCTGTGCTTAGGACCGTCAAAGTCATAGTCCGCATTGTTGTTGAAGGTAATGGTAGAGAAAGGTACATAAATGGGTCAAATGTAACGGACACCTTGCTGCAAACAGGACAAACCAATTTTGACCGGTACTGGCCCTACAGTAGCAAGGGGAAAAGAAATTGCAATATAGTGTTAAAAAAATAAATTTAATGAAGTTGGTCCCAATAAACTTATCTTAAGAAGGAATAGGTGAAACTTAAATCTACGAATTACAAATGCATTTAAACCATAAAACTGACTTGGCACACATCAACAATGATGGAGTCATTGCGAGCAAGGTGATTTTGCCAATATTCTTCTGCCACTTCTTCATCTGGACGACCCTCTACATCCTGAGCTTCGATATACGGCTTGCATTTCACACGATTTAGATCTTCATGGAGACCATCCAACAAAAAAGCAAGAAGTTCCTACATGAGGCACTTCGACAAATTACAATTTATAAACCTATTTCCCACGCAACAAAATTAAACATTTGCGCCTATGAAAAAAAAGAAAAGAAGAAAAACTAAACATAAAGCCAAATGAACTAACCTGGGAATCATGCTGATTATAGCCACTGAATTGGGGAGCAAAACTCGCAAGTTTTAGCTTGAACATTCTTGGAGCCACTGGCTTTGCACCTGGAGCCCATAACTTCCTCAACAACTCTCCAAATGCTAAAGCAAGTTCTCCCTGGAAAATAAGTCTATGGTAAAAAGGAGAGCCAACAATCAAAGTAAGCAAAACATGCCACAAAAAAGCAGCCATTTAAAATGAAAACTAAAGGATTAACCCATTTACATACTTTCATTCCTAGTGGATTTGAATAATTTATGTCCTTCCGGTAATCTCCTAGAAAATAATCAACAAGCTTTGGGGTATGCACCAAGCATTGGATGGCACTGTTCATAAAACAAGTATTCCCAAGATTTTCTAGTCCGATAAGGCCTAAGGAACCAGCTCCTCTATAGATTGTACCACTTTGCAAGGAGTTGGTCGGAGTTAAATAAGGATTCACATAGTCAGTGCTCCCATTCATCTTCATAGAGCCACCATAAGTAGAACTATCCATACTGGGATGTTTATCGGCCACTTCATCGCTCCTCCAATCTCTACCTTTCATATAATATGAAAATCCATGGAGTCGCAGTTCAAGGAGAATCTGAAAGGACAACATGAAACGAAAGGCCATATAACTAAACTGTAGAAATTAATCTGCATGTAAAGATATATATAAACTGCAACACTGAGCATTAAAATTAATTTTGGTAGATATTTGTATACTAAATCTGGATCCATTTTTTAAGAAAAAAATTGAGACTCGATGTAGCATACGTCCCAGTAACAAAGGATCAACGTGGGCATGCTGGTGCGAAAGTTCAACGCCAACCAATTTCCAATCATAATAATATTTACTAACATAACCATCAATGCAATTCAGACAGTATGGCAATTCCAAAATTCAGTAAATGGAATTAAAAATTCAAAGTCCAAAGCTAGAAAGGTAGCACAAACAGTAAAAAGTTGAGCCGCTACACTCCAGTAGATTATGAAATATCATGTAGAAAGTATCTATCCGATTTCTGGTGAAAGGCACCCACCAGATTGACAAAATATGAGAGTTAACAAATAAATAAGAACCATACATTATAATCACTCACCTCTTTGTTCAGTTGTCCAGGAATATCATTTGGCAAATTAATACTGTCATTCATGAAAATTTGGGTTGTCTGCCCTGAGAAGTCCCAAATATGCAACTGTAAAATCAATCCATGGATGAGCAAATATCATCACATACATATCAGACCAATTGTAAATGACTAATTGTCACTCATCGGTAACTCACCGGAACATACTCTGAACTGAAAATATTGCAGGCCCTCTTGTAAGAATCAACTGTATTATCCTGAAAATTGCAGTCTAGTCAAATTCAGAAGGTAATCAATCGAAACTCTAAAGAAATAAAAAGTGGTTATTAACTTTACTAAAATGAAGAGTAAAACACAGTTTATGATGTATTCTATATGACAGCATATGAACCCTATTAAGCAAGGGCACATATATATAGCAATTCCAAGGCATGTACATCACTATTTCCTAGTAATTACAACATATATGCCAGACAAAAAGACTTGTAAGTGTTTGTGAAGCAAGAGTCCATAAAACAAAACATTTGTTGCTTGCATAACTATCTACTGATTTGTTGCCTAGTTGCATGGAATTTTCCCAACTACAACTGTTCCAGCAGATTCTAAGGCAAACAACTGCTAGTCCATTCACTGGATTGTGTTTCCATTATACCCCCAACTAACTGGGTCCAAGTGATAACATCTTTCCTAAATTGATGTTGTGACCAAGACCATAGAAACAATCACATTTAAACAAGGGAATGTATCAAAAAAGTGCAATAATGAGAATCATATGCATGTCACAAACATACAAAAGTTTAAAGAAAAGAAAGTGAAAGTTGCACAGCCCAAGTTTCAGTAGGATCCCAATGCCACACAAATACCACATTCAAACATTTAAATTGTAAAAGCTCACTCTTCCGCTTCATGTCAAACTGCTAAAAGTCATAATCCATCAACCGTGTGCTTTCTATTCTGATTCTTTATTAATTTCTTAATCTGACTCCTCTTAGCTCAAATAACCTTCCTTTTGACTCATGCCACCTCCAAACATCACACAACAATTCCAATCCAATATCTGATAAGCTGATAAAAAAAAAAATAGTTCATCATCACTTATTGGGACTACAATCCTTGCTATTCAAAGTACATTCTGCTTCTTGATCTCTCTCTTTTACTCATCTTCTTAGCATCTTGTTCAATAACTATATCATTCTGTTGTTCGTCACCACTTTGGTCCACAAAACACAGTTGGTAAATTGCTACCTCAAATTAAATTAGGATTAATGCATGGATTATCCAGCAACTTCACCTACCTATAATGTTTTGAGCATCACAAGTTCTTAAAAAAAAAAAAAAAAATTACGAAATCAATTTACATACTTTAGATTATGCCAACTCTAATCTGAGGCATTATTCTCCCAGACATTCCTTTCCAAAGTACAACAGGTATCCAACTTCCATAACTAATTTTTTTAGAATTCATCCAATACAGGAATGTAATGAGAGGGAAAGGGATGCAAAATAAGGCTAAATTACAAAACTAACCCTTTGGCTGATCTTTACAACCAATGAATTCGTTTCCCATGAGACAAATAGCCTAATTTGTAAAGAAAACACATCCTTCAAGAAAATTTCTGCACCAAAAAGGCTCACGTTATCCTTTGCTGCCGCGTAGAAATCATTATGCCTACAGGAAAAGTGGACAAATCAATGCCATTATTATTTAGGAGGTGGTGGAGAATAAAGAGAGAAAGCTCCATTCTCATAAATCACTGTCAAATCATATAGACATAAAAATAACAATAACTTAAGGCACTTCAGGAGAAATTGGAGAAGAAAGAAAGAAATCCCTGAACGCATAAGAAAATCAGTTTGTTTTCTACCTTCTCCTATAATCCCAGGAAGCACAGTAAACATAAGCCTAAACAATGAAATCAAGACCCCTTTTACGCTTTGAGCAACTTTGTTTTATGAGAAACAAAACTATTCATTAAGTACTAAAAAAATGTACAAATAGCGAACAAGGAGTCCTCTTCTGGAAAAACTACAAAACATCTGCTTTCGAATCCGATAAGATAACATAGAAAGACAGCTCCCTAAACTCCAAACCATAGACGCCCACAAAGAAGACAAAAAGCAGACCCTAATCCCATAAGCACTCCACCCTCTTCACCAAGAACATTCTCAAAAACCCTCCTATTCCTTTACGCCATTATAATCAAGAAAATTGCCATCATACCACATTTCCCCAGAACTACTACACCCCTTTTCTTTCCACAAAAAAGAAAAATAGAAAGAAAAAAAAAGGGCTAAGTAGGGAAATGTGCTATTATTATCATTAAAGGTCGACCATTTAGTAAACGGGCAATCAAAGATTTTGGCAAGCTACCAGAATGATTGAAAATGGGCCTCATTTGACAGCATTAGAGTAACAGTTAGGACTTACAATGAACCCTCCATTAAGACCTACCCTAATCTAATGGCAACTTAAGATACCACAATTCGGACCATCTAAAATGAGAAAAAGAATTGCAAAATAAGAGACAGAAAGCTTCCTCACCGTCTGAGAGCGCGACACCATGTAGGTTCAGGGACCAATGCATACTCACGCCCCGAAAACCCTTCTTCAGCGACGTCCTTCTTCTTCAAATTCAGAAAAATCTCCGAGCCAGCATCGTCGTCCGTAGACGCAGTGTACAAGACCCCTCCCATCTGATCGTCTTCGGTTCGAACCTCCTTCCACCACCTGAAACCAAACGAAAACACGAAATGAAATCCAATGCAGCAACAGAACCATCTCAACAACTCAAACAAGGGCTCGAGAGCAATTCAGTAGCCAAGTCACTCGCTGGAGGCGCACCTGTAGGGAACGAGGTAGAGCTTATCGACGGCATTGTGCGAAACGTCGTCGTTTGAGCGGTCGTCGTCGTCGTAGTCGTCGTGGAGGCGGAGGCGCTGGGAGCGAAAGCTGGGGCGGAAATCGAGGTCCCAGTAGGGGTCGTCCATGGCGGAGGAGGAGGAGAAGAAGGCTAGGGTTTTCGAGGCGAGGGCGCGTGCGAGGGACTTGCAGAGGTGGAGCGTGGAGGAGAGAGAGAGGTTGGGGAGGAGGTTTAGAGAGAGAAAGCGGGTTGGCTTGTACAGGAAGAGAGAGAGACGGAGCTTCTCGGAGAGTCGGGTCATAATAGAAAGAGTGAGTCAGAGCCCGCCTTTACCTGTTCACTCATCGCCACACAATCAATATTCAATCGAACACCGGCTTTCTCCAATTAAATAAAATAAAAACCAAAATAATTTTGGACCCACCCGTGTTTATATATGAGTGGATTGGACGAGTGTAGTGCACGCGCAAAATTGAGGGTGGGGGAGTTGAGGCGTTTCTAGAGTTTTTGTGAGAGGGAAGGCTAGAAGGTTCTTCTTTGCTTAATCTCTTTACTGTGTTTAGCAAAAGTTTTAATTGTTGTTAATTTCTAATTTGTTCCGAATCAAAGCTTCAAATTATGATCGTCATCATCATCAATCAAGTTTGTCTAGGAATTTCAAATGTTCTGGGTCATTTGAAGATCTCCTCATTTGATTTAAAGACAACTTTAAAAATCGACTTTGAAAAGTTATCTTCTTCTTGTAAATAATTTATAAGGGAATATTTTACCCATAAACCATATAAATAAACACGAATTTTGATTTGATTTGTCCCCATTTTTTTCTTTTTTTGTCTATTTGATTTAATGAAAAGACATAAATTTGTCCGTATTTTTTTTTACTAGTTGGATTAAAGTAAAAACAACAATGAAACTACATTGAGATAACTTTAGCAGTGGCCACACTAGAAACATCATTAGCCTAAGTTACAAGAAAACTTAGGGACAAGAATGTTTGGCAAATGCTTTCACAATTGTTCGCCTTTCATAAATCCAAGAATTTCACCCCCTATTTAAGAAATACGAATGTCCCCAACTATCCCTGTTAATCATTACTCTGATCCCAAAGTCCAATAGAATAAGAGCGAAATCCTATGATGTTATCCCATGCTAATGTATCCAAAGCGTAAGCTTGCTTGGAGCACTCTATTTTCTTTAAAGTAACAGCACCGGATGCACAACACGACCAATTAAAGGCAGGAGCATATCGCCGACCAATATTCGAAAGTTAGAGTTTCAAATTGTCTAAGCCAATTTCTATTAAGTTTCAAATTTTTATAAGTAACATGTTGGAGGACAAACCTGATTAGGACTATTTATGACACTTTTTTTTTTAGGACCTTTCCTAATGAGAAGAGCGTTATCACATACATTATAAGGCCTTGTTTGGTTCACGACCGCATTTTTCCTCTTTCTTCCTTTTTTATTCACATTCCCTCACCCACTCAGACTGAAACTCTCTCTCGAGAAGCCAGATGCCAAAACGAGCCTTTTTGGGTCTGGCACCACCGCCCCAAACCAACCCCCCCAATGCCCTTGTTGCCACTCCACGGACACCAAGTTTTCACACTACAACAATAATACTGCCAAACAACCATGGTACACATGTGCAACCGTAGTAGGACCATTGGCGACGAAGTTCGTGACATCCCGGTTCGCAGCAGCTATCTTTAGAATAAGCCTTCAAGGTACAATTGTTCCCATTCACCCTCTTCCTCTTCTACTATCACCCCGTGCTCTTCCTCTTCCATAATCACCCTATGTTCTTCCCCTTTCACCGTCACCCCATGCTCTTCTTTCTCTTCCATGATTGTTCGCCTTCCTACCCTTCCTCTTCCATCACCTCATAGGACCGCCTTATGGTCGAATCTCCAAATCTGTCTTGATAGTGTTTGGGCTTTGTATCTAATTGCTTTGCCTCTACCTCCTTTAAGCATGGGTACATCTGTGTCGCATTCACCTCCACCTCTTGATGACAGTCTGAGCCTGGTTCCGTCGGAGTTGTCTCCATCTGCTCCGTCTCCACCTTCACCTACTGATGATAGTTTGAGCCTAAGTCCGTCGGAAAATCCTTCACCTCCTCTGCCTCCACCTCCACCCTAGTCGAAAACCGAGTTAATTGGATAGAATTTGATGTTATAATGCATCGTTTGGTTCACAACCCTTTTTTCCCCTTTCTTACTTTTCGATTCTCATCTCCTCACCCACCCAGATTGAAACTCTCTCTCTCTCTCTCTCTTGAAGCTAGATGTCGAAGCGAGCCTTTGTGAGTCTGGCACTACTGCCTAAACCAACACCCCCAATGCCCCTGTTGCCACTCCTCAGATACTAAGTTCTCACACTATAACAATAAGAGTGTCGAACAACAACGGTACACATGCAAATCTTGCAACTGTAACTAGATAGTCGACGACAGAGTTCGCAACATCTCAGTACACGGCAACTATCTCTAGAAGAAGCTCCCAAGGTGCGATTGTTCTTCTTCCCGCTCTTCCTCTTCCACCATCACCCTGTGTTCTTCCCCTTCCATCGTCACTGCGTCCTATTCTTAGTCTTCCACAGTTGTTCACCTTTCTGCTCTTCCTCTTCCACAACCTCCTAGAAACACCTTATGGTCGAACCTCCATTTCTGTCTCGATTGGTGTTTGGGCTTTGCCTCTACCTCCTATGAGTTTAGATATGTATGTGTGACCTTCACCTCCACCTCCTGAAGACAGTCTAAGCTCGGTTTCTTTGGTGTCGCTTTCACCTCCACCTCCTAATGACAGTCTAAACATGGTTCTGTCGGAGTCGCCTTCACTTGCTCCACCTCCACTTTCACCTACTGATGACAGTCTGAGACTAGGTCGGTCGGAGAATCATTCACCTCCTCTGCCTCCACCTCTACCCTGGTCAAACGATCATGTGAATGAGATAGAATATGACATTATAAGGCCCCGTTTGGTTCACGACCATTATTTCCCCTTTCTTACTTTTTGATTCACATCTCCTCACCCACTCATACTGAAACTCTCTCTCAAGAAGCCATATGCCAAAGTGAGCCTTTGTAGGTCTAGCACCACTACCCAAACCAACACCCCTAAGAGCAAGTCCAGCAGCACAGGCTGGACTCGGGCTAGAGGATTTTAGGACCAAAAAGCGATTCCAGCAGCTCAGGCTAGCCCAGGCTGAAGGTGGGGGCAACGAAGACGGGCTAGCCCGAGGGTAGGTCGAGCCCGAGATCCAAAACGAGGGGGCTGACGTCAGCCCTGCGCTGCGCCAACGGCTCTGGGACACGTGGCGTCATCTGAGCGCTCCGATCGTGATTCTCTCCTCTAATCCAACGGTAGCCAATATTTTTGCAATAAAAATGTGAAAAAAATCTAAATTTTTTATTAAAAAAAAAAATACTGGAATTTTTTTTATAAATACCTACCAATACTCTTCACTTTCAACACCAAATCCTCATAGATTTTCTTCTACTTATACTATTATTCACTTTTTACTCAACATTTTATTCACTTTCAAGTTTTATTTTTCTTTATCATCCTTATGGCTTCTTCTATTGATGGTGTTGGGGCATGGAGCACCATGGAAGATATTTTGTTATGTGAGTGTTGGGTTCAAATTTCTCATTGTCCCGTCTCGGGCAATGAGATGAAATTCTGTCATATGTGGAAAAAAAAATTCATTCCAAATTTTAGAGGGTGAAAATCTTATCTGAAATTTGAAATTCATATGAATTTTATCTGAAATTTGAATTTCGAAATTTATCTGAAATTTGAAACCGAAAATTTTATCCGGTTATGAGATATGAATAGTATTGACACGTTGGAACCCAAAAATCTTATCCGAAAATATTGTCCAAATTAATTATTTAGGTAAAAAAAATTGTGAAAAAAACAAAAAAATGAATAGTGTTTGCCCTTTGCTATGGCAACTACTGGAAACCAACATTGCTTTTTGCAATGGCAGCCACTATTCACATGAATAGTAACTGCCATTGTTAGATAAAAAATGTAATATAGTGATTAAAAAATTCACCCAACATAATCTCACTCTTATTTACAAATAAGAGTTTTATTATGAATTGAGTATGACCCATTCAAGATAAAAAAATATCTTAATTATAATCTCTTTGAAAAGAAAACACCCTTTGATTCCAATGTGAATAATGAATGAAATAAATAATGACATTTGATTTAACGTTATGGCTGCATCCAGGGAACCCTAGACTGCCTACATACCCCCTGTTGTGAATCAAGCCTTTTGTAGTTCTCTGAAGAATTTGATTGAACTTTCAAGGAATGAATGACTCCTTGAAAGAATTTGCGGTGTGAGAAATATTTTGTGGAGTTTGAATGAATGTGATTGAACCAGGGATTCAATTTGATTTTGTAGTTGGAAAAGTATTTGGGGCGAATTTGATTAAAGTAAACTAGAGATTCTATTTGGACTTGCAGTTGTATTTGGATTGAATTTCCAAATTGCCTACGTATCCTTGGCGGAATCAAACCGGACGTAGTGCAGAAGAATTTGATTGAACTTTCAAGGAATGAATGACCCCTTGAAAGAGTTTGTGGTTGAGAGATTTAAATTTGATCTCATTGAAATTTGTACAGGTAGATGACCCATGAGAAAATTTGGAATGGTTTTGTACCATATTTGTTTATTGTCAATGTCCAAAGAAAATTAACAGGCATTTTAATGAGCCTATTAATTTGCTCACATATGGTTTTGAGGATTTAAAAAAATTAATCCATTAACCACATAATTTATTTGGACACCCATCAAATATTTTGGACTTTTGAGAATTAATGGGTAATTTGTTTTGTTAACCCATTAATTTGTTTCTGGGCCTTGAAGTATCATTCACCTGCTCCGCCTCCACCTCCACGTTGGTCGAACAACCCAATGGATTTGATGAAATTTGATAATTTGTTCCATTATTTTGGGCTTCCGCCACCAACATGAATACGAAAGAGGCTCTTTTTTCATATGTAATTATCAGTTTCCTTTTTTCGGTTATGGGTATACTATGAGGAAAAGAAAGCAACGCTTCTAGTTATAATGACTTTCGCAATTTGCTCACCCGTCTCTCTGAAATTTATCATGGTATCAAAGTAGCGATTTTGGAATTGTTGACTCTAATTTCAAACTCTAGACGTAGTAATGGGGGAGGATGATTTCTTCGTCTTCCATTGAGGTAGCACTATCAACCCTGCTTCTCATTTCAACCGAACTTCGTAGAACGAGTTGCACAGATGGCTCAATTCTTGGAAATATAGAACCATACTCTAAACCCAAACCCAACCCTTATTTTTTGTTTACTCCACG